GTCTACGTCGCTCGTAAAAACCGCGATAATACCGTTAAGGTTAATGTCTTATCATTGTTTCTAATCCGACGAGAGAATTCACTTCCGGCAGCGCATTTAGCAGGCAGTAATGCGGCGTGACATTAAAAACAGGAAGATGGAATGGAGGATTATGATTAGATAAAGAATAGCTTTGCGTCTTGATGTATGTATGTACCATGAACAGCTTTTGCAGCCACAGCTTTTTAAACAGTGTAGATAATTCGAAAAGAACAAACGTAAATAGCTATATCGATAAAATGAAATTCATGTTGCGGTAATAACAATAGTAAGGCTACGTGTACAATATTCAGAGCACGAAAATCATTTTAATATCTATTTAATATCTTTCACTATTTCCCATTGGGCGTACGGATAAAACCGCAAGATACATGACATGCCGATATTAATTATTTAAAAATAATCGCGCAATTTAGCTTATAATCTTCCATTTATCGAACATACGAGTAGAATTGCGTTTTACATATATTTCACTGCTAATTCATTTTATTGCTAATTACCACTAACGATTACACTTATGATATATTATTTCAAGCTTAAATCACGCAAATCGCTCGTATCTTTGAATTCATTATTTAATCCTCTTACACATTCAACTCTGTTCTGTTGAAAACAACAGAACTAATTTTGCGGTAAATGCCATTGCAGCGCTGTGGTATTTACTTTACTTTGAGTTTTAGTTAGAAGGCCAGCCGCTATGTAGAGAAGCAGATACGAGCCATTAAACCAGCGAGGGCTCAATAGTCTCTATAAAACGACTTCCTAAAATTAACGGTACGAAGGTAATTTGTCGGACGACTCGCTGTCCGTTTGGATTAAAATCTAAAGTTCGTAAGCGGGATGAGCGATCGAAGACATCCTGGTTTTTGCTCTCAGATATTTCACAAATCTTTGGATGACAATTCCTTATTATTACTAAAAGCTCTCAAACAATTCTGGAAATAGAAGATAAATTAAGGGCACGTTTGCACTGTAAATTTTACAATTATCAACAAGATTTAAGTGAAATGAAATGCTAAAATCATAGAGAAATTAAATTAGACAATTCAAATATTAATATTCTACCGGGATGCAAGTTAATTAAAAGATCCTTTCCCCCTAACTGTAAAAACAAGTTTTTTACATGAACGAGAGATGTGAAATATCAAAAACTTGCATATAAAGTAACAATAAAAACTTTCTAATAGAGATTAATATTTATCTGGGATTTCAATAATTATTTGAGGATTATTTTTTGGCTTAGCATTTCGCATTGTCTCTGATATATCGGTAAGTCCTATCTTTACTGCCGTCAGTTAAGTGATCATTACGGGAAACTGGCACAATCAGAGATAGAGGAGAGCTCGTAACAATCATAGTTCGTAATAAGCAGTCGTCATAATCGAAGTGCTGTGACTGTTCGCCGGAGTATTCGCCAACTGTCATCACTAAGATAGCACGGCATTGTATCGAATAGCGGCAATCGAGGTTCAGTTCTAGAATAATCAAGATCGTCCGACACTACGAAGAAATAACATATTCCTCGTGTCACAATCGCGATATATATGTAATAATAGATGTATGCGAATGATCGATTATACTATACATACGCACACATACACACACACACGCATATATAAAATATACATATAAGTTTTATTTATGTGGCATTTCGCACAGAAATTATTTTAAACGAAACTTAAGCAGCAACGACTCGCTTAAGTGACGACTTTTCGCTACAGAGAATGCTCGTCGAAGAAATTTGTGGCCCTATTAAAAATATTTCGAGAAATATTGTATTTTCGAAATATTTCGTGTGCCTAATGGTGGGCGCCGTGTATTATTTTATTTATAGGATACTATAAAATACACGCCGTAATGCCATCAACGATGAGACAAAGTGGATGAAGCGAACCGTCAGCGTATCTCCTTCGAAATATCTTCGTATTTACTGTTCTTATCATTTAATGACGACTATTTCGAATCAATGGCGTAAAAGATAGAGTTGAAATCATTTCGTTTTATTACATCAGTGTTGAAACGCGGTATCGATTGTTTGCGCTTTAATCATGCTTCGGCGAAGGCTAACTGTATTCCGCTTCATTGCTTTCCTTTGCAGGTCGTAGATCGTAGGATCTCTCTTTGTTTTTGTCGATGTTTTACCGTTATTTTTTGTGGAAAAATATCTACATTTTGATATTTTTTGTTTTATGACGATTCTAGATTGCTTGCTAGATGGAATAGGCAATTTCGCAAAGGCAACAATTTGTGACATAGAATCACGGACGTCGGGCGTTTTTGATAGCTGTATTCAATTATTTTGTATATACCGAAATTACTTTTGTTATTTATGTTGTGCAAAAAGGATATTTTTAAAAATATATCCGGTACAGTTTGACAAGATATCGATAAAAGCAATAATCAAAACGGATCGAGTTAAATTTAATAACTTTAATTGTATTTGCCAAAATGTATTTGAAAAAAATTACAACTTTATATTTTATTACATCAACATTCGGAGAATAAAATAAAAATTTTAAACTCAATCATTATTATATTATAGATAATAAAGTTTTATCTTAATTGAAAAATAAAACTGTAAATTATGAGGAAATTGTTCTCGTTGCTCTCATACTCGATCTATCTTTTTCAACGAGGAAAGTTAAGAATTTATAAAAACTTGGCGTTCATACAGATGTAAAAGTTCTTTTCTTTCCTGCAGCTTCCTTATTTCACCAACTCGCATACGATGCGCTCGGCATACGTATACATATAACATTTCTAACGTTTCGCGTGACAAGATCTCTACGCGTGGAAAAATATATATTTATTCGTGTCGCTTACAAGTCAAGTGGATTTGAACGAGACTCGAACAGAGAATGCAACAGAGAATTAAATGCAACAGTTATCTATGCGCGATCTCATCCGGATCGGCTGAACTTCTTAGGACGATATCGACAATAGAGTCGAGTTTTACTCCAATAAAGCATAATAATTGGAGAATCGGTGGAGTTTCGATCAAGCAAATCCGCACGCAGTTCTTAACATCGTCCGGCAATTGAAACGCCGGTCGCCGATATAATTTATTTCATGATCTTCCTTACAGTCGTTTTTATCACCGACGCTCTTAATGATTGTAAAACCGATGACGTGACCTTCGATGATCGTGTTTTTTTGCATTTCACGATCGAGCACGCATTGAAGTATCACGAAGAAACGTAGTCTAAGTTTTTACGCAAAGGAGAATCGCGCTATTGAATGTACATGTTTTTAAGATTTGTAAATAAATTTCCGCGTGAGATGTGCGGATGATTATAAAATATATCTTTGGAATGAAAATTTTTTTATAAAATCAGAAACGTATCTTGTAGTTTTCTAGGAATATAATTATCTATGAAATAATCTTTTTAAATCGATATTATTTTTGAGAGTGTCTGAAAATCTGTCTGTTTAACTACTTATACTTATATTTTATTCTACTTATACTTGAACGTACTTAGAATGATAATTTATTTTAAATAATTTAGTTTGTTATTAAGAAATATCGATGGCAAATATGTAAATGTTATTATAAATTTAGAAGCAATTGGCAATGAAAAATTATGTCTTATTATAAAAGATGTATTATGGCGAGTGAGGTAAAAGCCCGAGACTTATGTATACCAATAATGCTGTTTGATACACAACAGGACGAATAGCTCGAGGAATTATGTTTTGTATAATGGTTGACAGAACCGCAGGCAGTGCATTGACCCGCGTATTTGTGGATTGAAATACGATTCGCCTAATCTACATTATTCATGTAATTCTGATGATTACAGATTATCAAAGATGGCTGTAGCATAATAATTCCATTATTTTTATCTATATTTTTATTCTATCGTTTCTTTTAAATTATATTATTCTAATTTCGCTGCATCGAATGAAACTTTCCGTCACATCGGTCAATATCAAATATTCGATTAATTAATATACAAATTGAAATTAACATTGTTTTATTTTTTAGCACTTAATAAACTAACTATTTAACTACTGAATTTTAATGTAATTTTAATATTTTATATAAATTTTCAAAGTAGCATTACATATAAAATTTACGCTACGTAGCGCTGTCGTTTTTTTATTTTATTGTTATTATTTATAACAATTTAAGTGAAAAATTGATACCGCTGAAATTCTCTGTAAAAATTTTGCGATTGTTTTTTGATCATTGCTATTACGAAGCAAATGCTTGCGTGCACAGTTACGTTACTATTTCGCCATGATAGAATTATCACGATGATCGAGTTAAATCCATTCGTGTAACTTTGTTAATGCGATAACGGAACCGCTACGCTCACACATACCGTAACTATGTGGGCAACGAGCAACGTCTCACCCAATGATTGACATCACTGATTAAAATCCAATTGAGAACTATTAATGAAGCTCTCAAATGACAAACAATACACAAGTGCGAAAGTGAATAGGGGTAAACAAAACGCGAGCTAGAATGTAATCCTTTCATTGTGTGAACAAACAGGATATTCTTGATAAAAAAAGAGACAATAGTTTAAAAATAAACAATAGTTCAAAATTAAAACAGTTTTACTAACACGATCAAATTGCAATCAAATTTACAAATGTTATTAAAATGAATATAAAATGTCAGATAAAATTTAAAATAGAACAATGCTATTAAAATTTATAGAGACTATTTTAACTAAATTTTCTTTGGAAAATGAATTTTATGCTTTTATGCTACAGAGAAGAATAATACAAAATGTTGACGTATTTTAATAAAAATTTAATATACAATATAGAAACAAATATCTAAGAGCAACAATAACTAAAAGTTATCAAGATCTTTAAATGGATCCGGAATGCGTACCGCCTTATAAAGTAGTCAAAGATAATTTTAATAAATGATGGCATTTCATGAGCCTCTCACGAGCGAGCGGCTCATGAAATGCCATCATTTATTTGTTGGCGTTTCACTTCAGGTGGAAGAATCGACCACGCTCACCATTACAACAACGCTTATCGCGCTCTGGATGAGACCCTGGCGCTGGAGGAAGCTGTCGAGGCAGTTATGAAGGAGGTCGATCTTACGGAAACACTTCTCGTGGTAACGGCTGATCACTCGCACGTGTTAACCCTCGGCGGATTGGCGACGCTTCGCGGAAATCCCATATTCGGTAAGCCACGTATACTTTGTTCTTAGTACGCCATATCCGCCGTCGAGCCCGAAATAAATGGGGCATTTCCGTTTCTTGAGATAAATATACCGATGAATAAACGATTAAAATATTGAGAGAAGTAGGAGAGGCGGGGGGAGGGAGGAGGGCAATTATTAAAATATTAAAATATTAAAATGTTATATTTGTAACTTATTTTTAGCTATTATATAGGATTTAAACTTTTGAACATTGAATCTGTATAAAAGTATATACTATTTAAAATTTTAGAGAGATTTAATTTTGATATTAGCTGAAACGATAATTTTTCTATAGAATAAATGTTTTAAAAACTAAAAAAAATTGTAATACTATATATTTTTTTCTTTGTGGAGTATAATTAAATTGCATCTATGACTATACAAAGTATATGCAGATTCGGTGAGTATGAATTATCAACGATACTCAATGGTTCATTGTTGTATTAATTAATGTATTAATTTACATTAATTTATTTCACAATTAAATTATATTGATAGATAATTAAAAAATACAAATAAATACATATTTATCATCTCGCTTTTATTTTTTTGATTAAATGCGAAATATTTTCAGATTGCTTATCTTGATCTCTATTTCTGTCATTCAATCATACACTCGTTGTCGCGAGTATAATATTTGTGTGCGTCAACGAACTCCATGCGAGATTTAGGCGACTGATTTCAACTGCCGTGACTTCTTGCCGTTGAAAAAGAAAACATTCTTTCCATTGTTATTCTGCGCTGAACTTTCAATATCCGGCAGGGATGCCGACAACCGACTTTTTGCTCCGAAAAGCAGCCTCGCAGGAAACATTATTGGATCACACGCGCGAATTAATCGAATGAATTGCCACGAGTCTATATCATCGGGTTAAGCGCAGCTTATACTACGCTTTCTTTCATTAGCAAACTCAAACCAGTGCGGGATTTCATGATTTAATTAAACGTATCGAATTCATATGTGAAATCTTTGCAAATGTAACACAAAATCACCGAAACCGTTGATTGTTTTCTACAAAATTGATAAAGTAAATAGGAAGTAAGCAGAAAAAATAAATATATTAATTAATACGATTAAGTTTAATGGCACATAAATAAAGAACATCAAGAACTCCTCCGTTTAAATAAATTAAATATTTTTTTAAAGTGTCATGCATAAGAATTTTTTAATGCAGAACTGTCTTCACTTGCAAGTTTCAGATAATTTCAAGAACTTTATCGAAAGACAAGGATATTTTAGGGAACCGAGTTATTAAAATTACATTGACTGTCTACTTTATATTCCTAAAAACTGGTCTGCTAAGTTAAATCGAAAAATTTTCATTTTGCAAAATGACGGCACCATATAAGTTTTGACACAAGAATGATTCATAGCTTATACAACTATCTAGTTTTAGCGTCTAACAGATAATTCATCGAAGTTCTTACATCAAAACTTACACTTTGACGGATTATTTATTGTTGTCGTCTAATTTTTATGACGTACCGATAAAAGCGAATACTTTATATTAGGCATTTCACCGGCAATATCCCCCCTAACGCGACATTTTTACTAAACTTTCGACATATTTTCGAACAAATATGTTATATGCCAGCAAACGAAAGCGTCGTGTGAGGCGCGCTTTATGGGGATCATCCTCCGGGACGGTCCATCTCTTCGCTCCCTTTGGTTTCTCTCGTTTTCTTCGTTTTTTCCCGACCTTTTCCGTGAAATAAACGATGGCATACTGACCCGCGGTAAATAACGCGAAAATGTTTGATCGTCGGCAATCAAAAGTGGACTCTTTGTTCGATTGTGATAACATTTTTTATAAGTTAAATTCGGCGTTATTTCTCTCCTTCGAAGTGACAGATGTTGACTCGAGATTGACAACGAACGTCAACGCCCACATCGCGATCCAATACCATAGTAAGCGACGCGAGTACGCTGTTTTATATGGGGACACGAGCTCGTCCCCATCAAGTAGAGAAGAGTTCGTCCTTCCGGCAGGACAGTTCTGAATTCAATAAGATCCAATCTATTTGGACAACTTCGTGAGCGTCCGTCCGTCGACGGTTCGCCGGTCGCGGTTAAATTGAATCGCCGGCAAACGTAAAGGATGGCTTTTTCGGCCAACCGTATGTGGAGTTGCAAAAGGGCTCGTCTCATCTGCCCGATAGCAGCCAATTGAAAAAAAAAAAAGGAAATAATTTCGGATCGAGACATGTCAGTTTTCCGAATTCGCCGATCCTGAATTTCATTCGCGTGTTTTGTATCTCTTTTTCGCGGAATTGTCGACATCTTGTTACTTCACTGAGAAGTTAATCCGTTCGGGATTATCCGTTTCACGAGTTCATAGGCTTTATCATGGAGTTTTATTGTTTTACAAAGGATGTTGTTTCTTGCCAATTTTTGCCAATTTTTATTTCATTTTTCTTTTTTTAGAAAAAATATCTCACTAAAAATCATGTGAAATCTAATGGAAGAACAAATATGATGGATTTTTCTAAAAGAATGAAAATTACATTTTTAGTTTAATTTTTAATAATGTTAATAAATGTTAATAAATGTTAATAAATGTTATATTTTTATATTGTAATTATTTTATATCAGTGCAAAAAATTTGTCACGTTTATCAAATAAAATTGAAAATAAAATTTTATTAAAAAAGCAAAGCAACCTGGCATTGGTTTTAATATACGCCAGGTTTTAATATTTTTTTTCTAATTTTTTTTAAACTTTAGGTTTCTAATTTGATTTAATATAAAGGTTGATGTAAAAGCGAAAAATTATTTTGTAACACTCTAATATATATTTGTAATAAATATTTTTTATAATCACTAAATTAAAGAGAAAGACACATAACCGACAATGCAAATCATTATTATGTAGTGATATTCAGAATTAGGAAATTATTGTAAGGAGAGACGCGTTTATGCAGTCAATAATGCAATAATTTTCTAGTTTTTAAGTCTATTGATATTGCAAGCTTGCGTCCCGTAAATTTTCGAACCGATCCACGATGAATTTACTGAAATTACTCGAGTGGAAGATATCCAATAATGCAATCCCTCATCATGATTATACTCAATAACATTCCGCATGATTTAATAGAAATTTATATATATGCTTGATAGCGGATATAATCCGAACGAGATAGCTTTGTTAATTAAACAGTTCGTTCGCTATGCAACTCGGCATTGTGACCTGACGAAGCTATTTTACAACGGTATAAAATAAAAATGTTTAAAAATGTTTAAATATAGTAGATTAAGATTAAAGAACATTTCTTTCTTTTGTTCGACTTTAAATATGAAGTCTAAATATATTGCACAAATTATTCAAATAGAAAATTAAAATTAATAATAATTAAATTGTATTAATCGATGTTCATAAATTTTTTAAATTTTTAAATAAAATTTAAGATCAGTTTGCGCACCTATGCTTATGTTTTCTACGACATAGTGAAAAGATTAACTTGGTATATGTGTGATGAAAATGACACATAAAGCGACATTCTATAATTTATTTTTCTCGCTAAATAGAAAATCATACGTTTGAATAAACGAGGCGACATCGACTTATCATTTCGGAAAGTAATTTATATTCTGCCGGTCGTCGTATGATCGATGCATCTCTCAAAAAGGCTCGCTTTTCTCGCGTGTTGATTGCCATCAATAAATAGCGGTTGTCGAACCGACGAATTTTGCAATTTGCCGCTGCGCCGAAAACGCGGTATTGGAGGCTTTTAATTTTTGGTACGTCAAATTTCGTTTGCATTTGTAATTGAAAAAAAAATCGGGTAAGGCAATACGGACGTATCGGTGTCACCCAATTCTAAAGCGTATGCCAATGCCGGCGTACCGGCACTTGGCTCGAATTAGATTCGATATTGTGCGATTCCACTTCCAGATTGAAACCGCGAGTAATTTCGCGAGTAATTTCGTATTCGAGAATCGAATACAGCATTCAGAAATTCCGCCGGTGTTCCGTAGTTGCATACTCGATATCGTTATGGGAAAGCTATCAAGCGAAGCTACAAAGCTCCGTAAAGCAATTTGCGTCTCTCATTTACACTCAAAAATCTATACACTGAAAAAATCAAATTTATCATGATTCAAAATGAAGGCTAAATAGAAAAGCCTCGTTGAAAAGCTCAACCCCGTTGTAATATAATTCTCGGTTTGCAGCGTTCGTGTAACGGCACGCCACCTTGGCGAAGTACGTCATTTGTCGCGTCGAGATTCCGAAACGGGGTTGCGTGAGAATCCTGTACGTAATGAAAGTAATGAACGTAAGCAGGAGCGTTAAATCACGCGGTTGACGTGCAGCGTGAAATACGGCCAGGAGGGAAACCTCTGATACATAGGGACATAACGGGTTTTTGTCGCAACGTTCCGCTTCTGTATCGTCACGGTTCAACGAGGTAAATCAAAATGAATATGCAGTCGTTCTTATATTCGCACCGAGCATTATAATCGCGGCGACGAGTATTCCAGGTGAGACCCTATCTAAGAGAATTTAAAATGAGAATAACGAGACGAACGGTCGTACGCGAGCCAACGCTGCCGCAACCCGGTTGCACAAACATAAATGCATGTAAACGCTTTTTTTCATTGACACAATATTTAAATGTAACTATTATAACATCTGTTTTAACAAGTCACTACATTTTTATCGTTTAATAAAGTCGCTGATATACTTTCCATATAAATTATAAGCAAAACTTAGCATTTGATATGTCAACAATTTTTACTTTAAAATGGAAAATTTTTAATGCATTAAAGTTTACAAAATAAATTGCATTATTTCAATATTATACTATTACGTATAATATTTGCATATATTTGCAACAAATGTATTAAAATTTGAAAATATGCAAATATTAAATATGCAAGCTCATTATCTAGAATTTTATAATTATATTTTAACTGTAGCGTAATGTATAATACTTATAAATACATATATATATACATAACATAACATATATATATATATAT